TCTTTCCCTCGTCGGATCTACCTTTGGTTCGAGGTAAATTGTTGCTACCAGAAGAAAAATCTGCCCTAATAACTCATTCCTTACCCAATTACTCAGCTTTGTTTTCCTTCCTTCTGCTGTATTACAATGCAATCATCACCAAAACCAAATAGATCAACCTACGATATACAGAGACTTTTTTTTTTTTTTTTAAATCTGATCAATAGCTTTACAAACATCTTTCTTGTTCTATCAGGAGACATAACTTTTCTGACAGACGCCACCACCATGTTGGTCTACCAGAACTGCCACTTCACAGAGCAGCAGGAAAGTCATCTCAGTGTTGTGCACCTTCTCTTCATACCACACTGACCACATCCTTCCAAAACTGCCATGTGTCTAAAATGTTCACAGACAACAGTTAATTCTACTCTATCTTTTTTCTTTTAGAAAATGATGGGGTGTTACTTACAAATCAGTTTTCTGGTAGGCGTGTTAAAGGACTAAGAAGTATTGTTTTAGTTATGCCTTGCAGCAAATGAGAAGCAGAATACTGGTTTCTTGTTTAAATGCAAGCTATGACTCATCCTGGGCAGAGATAAACTGAAACACATAGCCATTAAATAAAAAACACAAACAATTTTCCAACATGAGGATTAATGACAGATAATAACTATAAATTAACTTTAATCTTTTATAAATCAAAGTCCCTTATATAAATGTCACTGCAATCTTTTCAGATAAAAAAAACAAATCAAAGCATAAAGAGAAGTCACTTACATATTACAGTTACTATTCAGTACCAAACCAAACAACTCCTTAGCAGAACCACTGGAGTGTTCATAAAATATTTCAAGACTAAGAAAAGGAGTGGACCTTAAAACATAGCTTTAAATTTTTGAATATATTTTTAGTTACTTTTTGACATCAGAGGTGTACAAGATTCTTAATCCTGATACATTGAAACGTCATCAGCTCTCCAATATTGAGTCCAAGTTAAATCTCATATTTAAAAAGGAAAAAAGGAGGAGGAGAGCATTTTGTTTTTCTACTATTCTCTTGCTACTGCTTGAAGGAAACTGTGGCATTGTTGAATGGGTTAAAACAAAATTTAACTCAACATAAGAAGGCTGCTGTTCGCAGACAAGAAGGGAAAAAAACGAGTCAGAGACCTAATAGTGGACAATTTTGAAAATTATAGTGTGTGTCAATAATGGAGATAACAGTGAAATTCAAAAGGAATAATCTCAAATAATAGAGAAAATGAGCACCTGCCAGCCACAAAGCCATTAGTATCAGGGCTTTTATCTTTGCAACAGTTAAGTCTGGAGACACTGACAAACTTAATGACACAGCAAATAAAACATGGTGAAAATCTAACTGGGAAGCAATCCCCTTCACTCAGAAAACACTGCTGCAGAGTTTGAAAATAAATGCTTCCAGTATGAAACTCGCTGCCCAAATCGTTGGTAACAAACACTGCAAACCCAGCACGGTCACTACAGGGTCTAGCTGGGTTTGCAGATCTGTGTAGCTGGTCAGGCCATAGCAGCTGCACTAAGGGACAGACAATCCCAACCCAGAAGCAGCGGGCTCCTGACCAAAGATCCCAGATATAGGAGTTTGCCTGTACAGACCACCCAATGTGATCAAACATGTGTCCCTCCCAGAAAGATGAAAACCAAGGGCTTGTAAAACCATGTCTGAGACAGATCTGGAATACAGTGCCTCGGGAACAGGAAGCCCTGGAGAAAAGATGTTGCTCAGAAAGCTGATTGTTAGGAATCTTCAACCTGGAGCAGGTGGGGACTAGGGAGTGTAACTGAGACAGAAGGAAAGGAAGAGAGAGAGATGATATTACACCAACTGGAAATGGGAAGACAAATTCTGTAGCAAGCAAACAGCTCGTCAACATTCTGAAAAAGGTGAAGCATAAGTAATAATACTCCTCTCACTGGAAATATACATAACAAAGTGCTGGACAGTAGTCAATCCTCATGATATTCACCACCCCAGGTCGTATTACTGTCCTCAGTTCAAGACAGGGAGTCAAGGCAGAAACTTCCTCAACTCCCACAGACAGCTGGTGTCAGGCATATACTAAATCCATCAATACTTGCCAGTCCTTAGCTGGACAGTAAGTATGTAATGCTAGCTGCTGGGATCTCACCCACAGAGAGCTTGAAGCTTCACTGCCTGCCCCACAAGCCTGAGGGTAGAAAAACATGATCACAGATCCACGCAAACTTGGCCAACGTGAGAAGACCAGGTTGGTACAGGGAAAGATGAAGACAGCTCTGCTCTAAAGCTGTACTGAGGGCAAGCAGCATTTGCAGTAACAATTAGATATGCAAATAAGCACACTGAAAATTAGTGACGGTTTACTGTTGTCATGGAGAAAAAAAAGCACCCTCCGTTCTGGGTCAGACCCAAGCACTGCATTTTCCTTCCCTCATTGGTAAATAAAACTGTAAGGAGCACTGGAAAACCCAGGAACCAACACAGCTCAACCTGGGACTGGAAAGGTTGAGATTCAGAGTGGGACAGGACAGCAACATAACCCAAACAAAAAACCTCTCTGCATCACCCCAGAAAAGCAGGACCAGGACAACTCTGCAGATCCTCAAAGGTACCAGGAGGTAGAAGCACAGCCTGGAAGAAAGCACCCACACCATGCAAAAGCCAAGCTGCTTCCCAGAACTGCTGCTGCTGGGGGAGGCAGATGTGGGGGAAACTGAGGGCAACGTGATGCACTAGGTACTCAGATCCCTTGAAGCTACATGGGAAGATCTTGTCTGAATGGAAATACACACTTGGCTCGAAGCCTCTGTGTATCTTTGGCCATCCTTATAGCGCTCCAATCCCTTGTTAAGTGATGGCTGCTAAGAGGCAAGAGGAGGCAAGCAACCTATTAGACTTAGCTTTCCCAGCCTGGGGGTTTCTTCATAGGAGCAGCTGGCCAGAGCACTGCCTTTGTTCCAGCAGCCACAAAAAACACAGACACCCCCCGCTCAGCCCTCTAAAATCCCACAGAAGAGTCAAGATAAGTTTATAATGGAAACCCTGACACAACCTTCACTATAGCATCCTGAACGGAAGGTGATAATCTGATCTGTATGTGAACTAGCTCCCCTTGCCTCAACGGTATTTATCTTACTTTAACTCCTGTTACAAAAGGGTTGAGTCATATAGCAGAGCTAGCCAAGTAACAAAACTGCAAGGCTTGCTAAAACTTCAGATTCGAGGATAAACAGGCGCAATCCTAAAACAGGTTAGAAGAGAGAGTCTCCACAGGAGCGCTGGTAGCCAGACCTCTGAGCCTCTGGACAATGGTATTTTCTCCTGCACCGCAGAGATTATCGCAGCCCAGCGGAGCGGTGGGAGGGAGAGGGTGTAGAGCACAGGGCTCTGCCCTTCGTTTCATGGTAACACATATTACCCAGGGCCCAAGAAACCTGATCCCGTAGCAACCTCATGTATGGAAAGTGCCCCAATCAGATTTCACTGTGTCAGGAGAAGAACAGTATTTACTCTGCATACAGATTAGTCACAAAACTGGGTCACTTCTTGCCTTTTCAGAGAGAGGGGAAAAAACAGTCAAAAAACAAGGCTTCTTTTTCAGATCTTTTTGTGTCCCCCCCCCGACTTTTAAAACTACGTGATGCAGCGTGGTCATTCACAGCTGTCTAAGCTGATCAAATGGCACCTGCATGTGTAAGGTTAAAGCACATCACACTCACTAGGCTTGCATTTCTTAGAATTCAGCTCATTAGCTACTTACCGGTTCTTTTCTAGTTCGTTGTGTGTAGACCTGGAAGATAAACAAAAATTTGGATTAGCCACCTTTGACCTCTCAGCACCAAAGTTCAATCAGTGCAAGCCGTACACATCCCCAGCAGCATATCGCAGCGTAAAGCCAACCAACTACATACATTAAAATCTATAGCTATAACCTCAGCCTCCCTGCTGACAAGAGTTTCCTCCCCTCCTAAGTCTGTATTTACCTCCTACGCACAAAGCTGGTACTCTTACTGGTGCTACAGAAAATGTTCCCTAGAGACTTAAAACACATACAAAATCCCGAAGAGAGGCAATGATTAGAACAGGGGACCAGAGTCAGCCATTTCCAGACTACTTCTGGCTCTGCCACCAACTCAGTATGGGACTGCAGTTACGTTTCTTTGTGCTTTAGTTTCTCCATCCACCCTGTAAAAATATTGGTATCATCTGCTAACACAGGAGCTCATGGAGTATTGATTTATGCACATTAAATAATAGGAACCTTCCAGCAGAATTGGCTCTGTAAGGACAACCCCTGGAGCCCTTCAGCGGTCACATGCTAGATTTAGCAAACTTAGTAGAACTCCAGATATGGCCAGCATTTGGGCACGAAATGGGATGGCCAGTACTGCCATGTTTGCAAACATCAGCGGCGCTGAGCAGCACTTTTAGGATGCCTGGAAACCCCTCAGGGATTGAAATGGCACTGCCACAGCACTAGCTTGCAGTGAAGCAAGTGACCCATAAAGTGGCACTGTGACCACTTGACAAAGGAGGGGGCTCTGTCTTTATACCTGCCCGCCACGCCAAGCACGCTGCCAGCACTCCCTAATTTAGAGTTCACAGCTTGAAAATGAGACCAACCAGAAACAAAGGGGAAACATGGCAAGTTCATTCTCTTTTTCTCTGTGATGACAGCACGAGTGGCAAAAAGAGCTTAAATCCTTTCAGGATTTCTAATCTAACAATGTTATTAGTAACCCAGGTAAGGTTGCTGAGGATTATTTAAAAAGAATCGCCATTTATCCAACATTTCTCTTTAACAGAAGGTCACCTTAAAATAAGAGTAAAAGGAGCCCAAGAGCTTAATAAAAAGGATCTATTTTCTGTAATTTGGCATCACATTTCTTCCGGAGCTCCGAGAAGATTATCCTCTATCCCCCATCTGGAGAATCCCACAGAGAATTCTACAATTAGGGAACCGAATGGAGGATGTGCTCCAAGGGAAACCCTGTCATAATTAAACACTTCTTCAAAAAAAGGGAGGAGGAGCGCTTAACAGGTGTTAGAGCCGTACTGAAGATGATGAATAAACCACTGATGTCTCCGAAAAACAAGGTAAATGAGTCTTAGCTAGCTGTGGCTGAGAGCTGTGGGTGGCCAGAGGAAAAACAAAACTTTACTGTATGTCTGTGCAAGGCACCCTGTGCAGCAGGTTATGGGATGCCCTAAAGGCGAGGCACACTATAGCCAAACTCCTAAAGTGGAGGAAACTCCCAAAGCAAATCCTTCCCTCCTGAAAAGAGAGGATCCCTAAAGTCTGGTTCCCAGGAGCTGGAGACATGAACATAATATTTAGTCCAGAAAATCTCCCAAATCAAACCCACATCCCCCACGGAGTCTAAACCAGCAAAATCCATTTGTCCAGGCAACCTGGATGCAAATTACCCCACCAGGGGTGAGCTGAGGCCCTTTAAAACCACTGCCCGTATGTTCTTTGGAACATGCTTATTGTTCTTATTTACTGTATGTTCCTGCAGGAGACTTTGCGCTCTTCTTGGCTATGACATTAGCAGTTACAAAGCCGGAGATATGCAATGGCTTGAATTCCTATATTATATCGAGCCAATTATCAAGGCCAGCACTGAAAGAACAAAGTTTGGCCCACTGCTGTGAACAAAATTAAAACAGCAGGTTCTCCCTACTCCTCTCACACAGGAGACTCTTTATTACCTATCTGCCTTCTGATGAACAAGACAACTGAGAGGGGTCACAGGCTTTTCACCAAGTCAGGAAATTTATGCTGTGACTTTTAACCATATCAGTGGCAAGGAAAAAAACAAACCCTAATCCCCCACACACTTTCCCACTGAAAGCTGAATGCAAAGGAAAGGAAAGAATGTCAGCAATGCTGAAAGAGTCCTATGGGGATGTTACTTCTCTTACCTGCCTATGCTTTGCTTAGTCTTACTGGGAACATTTGGAAAAGTGTTAATTTTCCCTTTCATTTAAATTTAGGAAAAAACCCACTACTTTTTTTAGGGAAAAAACCCACTACTGCCATTCACTAACTCTTACTTTCTGTGCCAGTTTCCCTTTGCTTGGACAACGGATACAGAAAAAAACCCCTCTCTCTCCTGTTCATAATTAATTTCATTTTCTGTAACTCCTGATCTAGAGATTAATTTTCTCCCCTCGTCTTTGGGCTGCACATGTTACTAAGATTTATTTGGAGTTAAACAAGGACAGTGCCGTCAGTGAAGTGGAAAAAAGTACAGGAACCTCTGTTGACATGACATTCAGAAAAAAAAAAAAAAAGGTACAGAAACAAACGCAACCGGACCTCTTTAACTGAGCTGGTCTTATCATAAACTGAGAACCTAGAGACTATCACCAGGCCAAAATCAAAGCTCCATCCTTGCACGCCATCGCCAGCTTTTTGATAGGTAGAAGATGAACACCACAGCCGTAAACTACTGTAGCGCTCGGGGAGCGTTTCAGGGTTACTTGTAACGCTCTCCGTTTACAGCGGCACAACAGCAAGGAACCGGTGCATTCAGTGTGATGTTGCTTTGCTGCTGCCGATAGTCAGTCGCAGCCTGCGTCACCCAGTGAAATAAGGACACCGTGTCGAACATGAACCACAAACCAGAGGAGCTCACATCCCTGCTGTCAGGTGGACAGGGCAAGCAGGACCTTGCCCCCACCTACAAAGCTGAAACCACAGCCATGCGGGTACAAACATGTTCAGAGAGAAAAACAAAAGCCCAAGCACACGTACCGGCACTGCTCAAAACCTCGGCTGCAATTTAAAAGTAGCTCAAGCACAACGTCTGCAGGGTTCTCATTTAAAAGTCAGGTTTCTATAGCAGTCAGCTCTTTAACAAGAAATTGAAAACATCCAAACTGATAACTACCCCTAGAAACTGAAAGAATGTTATATAAGGAGGAGGATCCTGCCGATTACAGTTTGAAAACAGCTTGGGAAAAGATCAAGAAAGAGTTCTAGAAGCTTAACATACAGGAGCCAAGCAAACAACAAAAAACAGCAGAGCAGTCCCCATCAAGATTTTAAATAACAAAAAGCTGGAAGAGGAGAAACTGTAGTTTATCCCTCTTTACCCCAGATACCTGAAACTGCATACAAAATAGGAAGAAACAGGGAAGTAGCAATTGTCAGTCACTCTAATTTAAGGTCAGATGCAACAACCCTTTTGTGGCAGTTACTGTGATTCTGCCTGCAACCTTGCTATCCAACACTGTAACAAGGTGTTGCTGAAACATTAAGCTACACTGAATTCCCCCAGTGAAGGAGATATTGTAAATAATTTATTACTTTACCCCATTTTCTTCATTCAAATAAAATCCCTCCTACCATGGTAGAGGCAGACAAACTTTCCCTGAGCACAGGTAAGCCAACAAAACAAACTGTATCAGGGAGGAACAAAGCTCTAAAGAGCACTGAATTCATTTGTCATTGGGGTTTTTTACTGTAATTAAAATCACAAAGCTGCCACATGACATTAAACACAGCTGACCTTTCTGATTTACACATTTAATATCGATAAATAGCCCAACGAATGCATTTGCAGCATATTTGCATTTTGGTTTGACTTCTTAGTGAGGTAACTATTTTCTACTGGGAAAACACGGCAACTGAGAGTCCTTGTCCTATGTGATATGCAGGTGGCATTTAGACCCAATGACCCTGTCATGTCCTCGTACCTGGTCACCCTCCTGTCTGTATCTGGCACCGGCTCCTGGCTCCAGAGGAGCCCGGGACTCCAAGAGCTCCATCTCCATCAGAGCAGAGACACCGGTGGCTCAGGAGATGCTGCTGGCCATCCGTATGGCCAGGTAAGGGGGTGGGGTGGAATAAAAATAATCTCTTCAAATACATGTCCTTAATGCCAACAGAGAGCCAGTGCTTCTCCTCCAAACTCACTCACCCCACTCTGCTTTAGCAAGAGATTAATCAGGAAGAAAATATTCCATCAGCTTGTGCAAACTAAGGCACAGTTACCTGAATCCCGTTTAGCAAAACAGCAAGAACATCCATCCACAGACCAGGCCAATCATTTTCTGTCTTACTTCACCCTGCCCAGGTTCAGCCACCTCTGCTGCTTATGCATCATCACAGCAAATACAATCTCATTCCTCGTCATCTTACAGACCTTTTCCACCTTCTGGCTCTGTTGACACCCATTCATTTGGCCACCAAATTCCCCTGCAGGAAATGCCTTCTTCCGCTCCCCAAGCCAAGATCAACCACCCTTCTGGAACCAGTGAACTACATTACTGCTTTCTCTTTTATGCAAGTTCTTCCTCAGAAATGACTCCTATTGGAAACAGCCAACTGACAAAACAAAACAAAGAAAAAGGAAGGGTGATCAACAACTTTTCTCAATTTTAAATCCACCTGTGTCCACAAAACAAAACTTACTGGCTGAAGAACCCAGTGTTTTGCCAGGGTTTCAAGTAGCAGTGGATCAACACTGTAAGTAGTCTATGAAACCAACTGCACAAGCCATAGTCCGGGAAGCCTACGGAGAAGCTCCACCAGCAGCAGCGGGTGAGGCTCTCAGCCCAACAGTAAGACAAATAGAATCATAGAATCATAGAATCATCTAGGTTGGAAAAGACCTTTAAGATCATCCAGTCCAACCATTAACCTACACTACCAAGCCCACTCTAGACTAATCAAGGGTAGACCAGACTAAACCATATCCCGAAGTGCCACATCTATAGCTGCGCAAGAGTCAAATCTTCCTGCCCAGATGGAGATGCCCAAGGGCTGAGCTTCTAAGGGAA